ACTATAGAAGATTTGAAAATATTTTTTACTGGATCGTATCAGTTATCACAAGCAGTTTCGTATCTATCGGAAATGCTAGAAGAGGATAATACTCTTCGTTTGAGTTACGCAAAAGAACAACATGATATAATCAGGTTCGAAGTCCGTTCACGGCATATCAACAGCAAAGTTTACAAATCTTATTTACAATATCAACCTGATAGTGTGGGATTCAACGGTGTCAGACGTTATTGTTGTAACTGCGCTAATGGTAACAGAACTATAGGGTGTTGCTCGCATATAGCCGCCATAGTTTTTTACCTATCTCATGCAAGATACTTGTCAAGGATTATTCGACCAGCTGAAATACTTACAAAATTGTTTGACTTCGAAGAAGTAACACCAGTAATTGAGGAAAATAGTGACGAGGAAGATTAAAGAGACGATCATGATATCATAAAAATTAATTTTTTTCATAAAAATGTATATATTTTTGAATAAACGAACGATTTCTTTGAAATATATGTATAAGAGGTACAATTTTTTATTATATTTATATTTACATTTACCAATCATATGCAAAAAAACTTAGATAAAATAACTAAAAATCCAGAAAGCGACGAAAAATAGGCACTTTTATACAAAATTAAGGTTTTCTCGTTGAGTTATGACTGATTTCATGCTCAAAAACATATGAGACGTATCGGAATGTATCAAATATTGACAACATATATCTAAAAGTAATATATTATGTTTATTTTAGAGTCAGTTAAGGCACTATCAATCATTTGAGGACCATAAAAGGCCCAAAAGTGGCTAAAAATAGGGTTTTTTGCATTTTTGAGTACGGCCCACCATTTCAAAAAATCTGAAAAAATTCTAATACATGTAGAACACTAAAATATACAATTTTCTAGAGTAATTAGACCTGCAACTATCAAAAAAATTAGAAAAAAATTGATTCAAATACTTATTTTATTTTTTTAGGTTAGGTATTCAACGCGCCTAAAGTTAAAAAAAATTGTGTGTTTAGTACTTTTTATAAGCTATATTCTCAAATTTTTTCAAAATTTTTAACATAAAGGAACCGGAGAAAAAAAATAATTTTCGAAAAAAGCGGTTTTTGGTGCCACTAGGAAAAGGAGGGGGGATGGATGGTCGGAAAAATCGTAGAAAATTCTTTTTTTAGTGTACTTATGCAGATCCAAAATTATTTTTCCGTTTCATTGACAGTGGCATTTTGCCTATCTTAACGTGGGGTACTCTTTGCTGTCGAGCTTTTGTTGGCAAGCCTTGTTCACAATATGGCGCAAATTTGCCGTTGAACTTTTGCTGCCCTGTTTTGCTCGATATTTGGCGTCAATTTGGTGTCAAGTCATGTACACAAGCTTTGCTAGCAAAACACAAGCGTATTGCAGACACAGATCGCACCGGATTTGTCGACAAGTTTTGCGCGTATTTGGTGTCAATTTGGTTACAATTTGCTGACAAATTGTTTACTGGGTTATAAAGGAGAAATTTTGGACAGTTGGGTTGCTTAAATATATTTTATTAATTATCTTTAACCTTATAAATATACTTTTACATGATCACACATAATAATATATTAGTATATAAGATCAAATATGACCATATAAAGTTATACTTAAAGAGGTTTAGCCATATAATATTGTTCAAGATTATCTTTCTATTTCTTATATGACCATATATTATCATACATCCACTAATATAAACTAATATAAACTAATATGAATAAATAAGAGGTTTTTTCCCCGGGTTATAAACGCAATCATATTTGATTTATTACTTCGTTGCATTCAACCCTTCCAATTCCGCGAAAATTTATTTCATATGAATCAGTTTAATTTTTCACCCTTTTTTGCCATATTTGATCTGTGATTTTACATTTTACGATTTTGATGCCGGATTCGTAATTAGCAATCTCGGAAACCCCCGCATCTATAGACGTCTATGATATTTTCTTATTATCTCAGTTATATCATGCAGTTACCATGACAATCGCCATGTTATTAGTTGTGCAAATCGCTATATTTATTTCCAACTTCTTGACGGAGTGTACCTACTGTTCTTACTCATACTGTGTCAAAAAGTGATTTTTGCAAGTTTCTGCTTTTTTCGTTGTTTTCAGCTTATTTTGTTTTGAATGTCCAATCAAAATTAAATGAACTTGGTGTAATTTCGTTTTGTTATTTAATTACCCATAAGATTTATTTCAATACTTTTTTCAAATAAATAAAGAGTTTTGATGGGTTATTTTTAAAAATCACAAAAAAACGTGATTTTTTGAAGTTAATAACTATAACACAATTGAGAATTTACTTGACTATACTGGCAATGATTATAATCGTGGTAACAGTTATAATCGTCGTGACAAATCGTCACCGACTTTCGACCAAGGATTCTGGTCATTCTGAAGTTGATGTAATTTTAGATGCTTATAATATAAGCATCTTAATTAAATAATTAAATTTATTGCGAAAAATATTACCTCAGCCAGGGTCACGACGATTATAATCGTTACCACGATTATAATCATTGCCAGTATAATCAATTAAATTTTCAGTTGTGTTAATTATTGACTGGCAAAGTAAATGTTACTTATTCGGTTTAATAACTATAACTTTTCAACGAAACGTTTCCAGACCTATGTGTTTATAGGAACTTTTTTGTTCCAAATTCAATTTTCTATAAGTCCCTGAAGTTTTATTGATCTGACCTGGAACATCCTGTGTAAGATAGAGAAATTGGATTATATAAAAAGAATTCTATAAGAAAATTATATAAAAAATCATACGATGAGCAGCATTTACAAAAATGTAATTGCTGCTCATATTTCATAAAAGGTACATGCCGTGAAAAATTTATTATACGTATTACATTTTTTTCTTTAAATCTATAAAACTTTTATCTAAAACATTTTGTAGTGTAAAATGAAATATGTATTTCATACTTCTACATGTAATAGGTTGGCCAATAAATCCGTGCGGTTTTTTACTTATAAATGTTACTTATAAATAACCGCACGGACTTATTGGCCAACCCAATACATATGCAATCATCCTCTCAACACATCCGATGTATATTAGTACATACATACTTCATAAACGCAGTTGGTACTTCATCGATCCGACGTGTAATATCCAACTTTTACGTCAATAATGTCATGAGTTATATCTGTAATCGCAATCAAGTGATTTATATCTAATGTTAATTATATTGGCAAACACAATTTTCGTTGCATTTAATATTCTTCTTATACCTTCTTGTATTCTTTTGTATATTTGTATATTTTTTTAGATTTAAATTGGAAATGTAATCAAAATTTCTCTCATATTGTATAAATCTTTAATTTTATGCTACAACGCATTTACATAGATAATAATAAAATACGATAATAATATATATGATAATAAAATTGAAAAATGTTCATAAAATATTTATTTATAAACAGATTTGTATTTTAGAAAGACTTAACTTCCTTCTAAGAAAAAATAATATTATCTACACGAAATGTACTAATAATTAATTGTAGTAATGTTTTCTAACTGATTACATATTAATAAGATTAACGTGTAACATTATGAAATTATAATTGACTGCGCCATTTTTTGTATGAAAACTAAGAATATATTGAGAAGTACTTTTGCATTGAGATTCTAATATTATGCTTGCAATGAAAGATAAAAAATAATTTTATCTATTTATTACGTACCTTTCGATGGATTGGAGAACGTGCGTATGACAACTGAAAGAACCTTTACCGTTGTCGCCACAAGAAGAGCTACTTGTGTAAAGAAAACCTTTGTGTAAACATTGTAACTTCGATTATTTCTGTCTCTCTAGCATAAGCTGATCAAGCGACACGATAAATGTCCACAACTACGGGTAGACAATACCAAATGGTAAAATACCAAGAACTGCTTTCCCGGGAAAAAAAGATTATATATAATTATATATAAATATATATAATTATACATAATGCAATTATATATAAATTTTGTCTCTATATATGATCATATATAATTATATATAATCATATATGAAAACATAATATTATTTATGTAAATATATATAATTATATATGATCATATATAGTCAATATCATATATATTAAAAAAGAACTGTTAACTTCGATAATAAAGCATCAATAAATTAAGATGTATATTTTTTCAAAAGCTGTAAAATCAAAAGTGAAATGATTTATTCTATATATTATAACTTGGCACTGCTTAACGTGAGACAGTGCCGTGTCTCTTGATACCGTTTTTATACCACTGTTCGACAAATTTTAAATGCGAGAAACGAATCCTATCGAATGCCATCTATTGGATAATCCGAATTTAAAGTTTATATATGATTATATACAGGATAAATGCTTCTTATATATAATTTATATATAAATTATATAAACTCATATATAATCATATAAAAATATGAAAATATGAAAACATGAATATAAGTACGAAATATAAATATGAAAACATGCAAATATGGAAATACGAAATATGAAAACGCGGAAATATGAAACACGAAATTCACTATACTATATTGTAAAATTTGCTTTACTTATCGTAACTCGAAAGTTGCTAACGTATCTGCGATAAAAATATAATATTAACTGGAATTTTCATGGATGATTGATATACATGTTTATATTACATCAAGTCTTAAGTATACGGGCTCATCATTTTGAGCAATTTTTGAATTCTCCCTGCGCTTTGCTCACAGGTTGCGTGGGGTTAAAGTTTAAATTGCAATCGTCCATCTGATTGTAGGATGCGCACCTGGACAGTGCGTAATCCTCTTGTGAGCCGTCTGTCCTAGGGGAAGGCCACCCCAATAAAAAACCAAAACCTTCATGAATGGACAACATACAGGAAGAAACCTTACCACCCCAGGGTGATCGGACATCCAGGGGTCGGCGCGGAGAGCGTACAGTCCCAGCACTCCCCGTGTCGTCGGAATTTTCGGGATCAAGCGATGGGCTTCCAAAACAGTTACTACCACCGGTGTTGACCTCGGGCACCGGTGGCATGAATGCCATTCAGCGACTGCAGACAGTGCGTCTCGAGATCGTCCATAATGAGGTCAGCGAGGATCGGGGAGAGGGGGGATCCCATCGGACTACCGAAAATTTGTTCGTAAAATTCTCCGTTAAAGCAGAACCTGGTAGAGCTCAGGATCAGGTCTATCGTGTGTGTGAACTGAGGAAGACTGAGTTTAGTTTTCTCGGCGATATGATTCCATCGTTTTTCTATGGTAACCAAGTCTTTAGGAATGTTGGTGAAAAGTGCGGTCACATCTAACGAAACCAATACATCGTCATCTTCAATTTCCACACCGCCTATCATATCAACAAAAGACCAGCTATCTTTAACATGCGAATGAGGTACAGGTACAGATTGGTCAAGAGTATCGTGTAATAATCTCGCTATTTCATACAATGGACTACCCACCGCAGAAACAATAATGCGGAGTGGGAAGCCATTCTTATGTACTTTCGGTAGTCCGTAACAACGCGGGAGGTTCCCGTTAGTGCAATTAAGTCGTTTGTATCCCATTTCACTGATGATGTCTTTGTCATACCAATTTTTAATGAGATCCTTAATCTTTGTAGTTATTCTATTTATCGGATTCTTATTTACTTTTTTGTATGTAAAACTATCACTAAGCAATTCGGTCATTTGACTAAGATACGTGCTCTTATCCATAATAACGATAACCTGGCCTTTGTCCACTTTAGTAACAAGATTTGGTTTGTCATACGGTACTTTCGGAACACATCTTATTATAGTTAGTCATTGTGTATTATACGTATCATTGTGACTTTGAATATGGCACGGAACGGAGCTAGTGGAAAAAATAATCTGTCTTACTCTCCTAAAACTTTACATTGCGACTCTCGGAAACTTTTTATTTTTTATTTTTTTGACGTACATTATATGTAAATTTTTACGATTTACCACTGATATGTTCTTCCATCTTTATATTCGACATACTTATATGGACATATTCGTTCTAGCGTGGCGTTCGCACAATGTGGCCTGGACGCAGCATTTGGCGACGCATGATCCATTGTTGCGTGACTTATGTATTGTTTCTCACTTGAGAAGGACCTAATTAAGGTTGAAACGTAGTGAGTTACTTAAATAAATTGATACTGGCCAGTTGGGTCGCGTAATCTCGCATTTAATTTTAAGAAAGAAACATTACAATGGCTATATGGCAGAATTTCTTTTCAAACGTTAGTATGAGTTCAAAGATCGTATTGAGGCATTTTTTCGCGCGATTGTAGTTATGTATTTGCTCGAAATTGACGATTCTGTCAAACTTTTTCAATAAATATGTTTATAAAAAAAAGATAAATACGTTTATTGACTCCCCTCAGGGTTGCAAGGCGTTTTCTAGGGACGTTTCCAACCCTTTATTTAATTCTCATCCAATACTACTCTTCTCCTCTCACTTAACCCTTTGGACCAACGGCTTAACGTCTCTTTCCGAAAGACGGAGCCCAGTTTGCTCCGCACAAAAGCCTATCTTGCACGGAGGGCGCAGCTTTCGGAAAAACATTCCATGTTTACATGGCTCTAGTGAACTCAAATCTGGTTCTTCAGATTACGAGTCTGGCGTTTTACCGCTAGACCACACTGCCGCCTAATAAATTTGTTTATATAAATCCTAATAAACATTAGTTTTACAATTATACAATTGCACGTTTATTAATTAGCATAGTCATTAATGTCGTCACATGGGTTCGTGGCGTGCTTTACAAGCTCGTTTCTCAAATTTTTTTTATTAATAACTTTATGTATATATATAAACGAGCTTGTAAAGCACGCCACGAACCCATGTGGCACCTCGTTTTGCGTGGAAAGTGTATGCGTAAACTATTTCGACATATATATTAGTTATTTTTGCCTTCCAATACTCAAAAATAGCTGCTATATTTGCCAAACTTTTTTTTTATTAATAACTTTTTAACGAATAACGAGCGCAGGCTGAAACCTTCTAAAGGTCACTCAGGAGGGTGACCTTGATAACACACTAAAATATCAAGGTCATCCAAGGTGATCCCCTCCATGTACACAATTACCTTTATTTTTTACAAACTATTAGTTATTTTAATAATAAAGAATTTATTATTATATAGAAAAACATTGATTTATTTTTGTCTAAATACTAATTTTTACGTAACTAGAAATTTTTCTCTAACAAATTACCCTTTTTTTTTAGTAATGCGTAATTTACTTTTACCTAGCTTTTATTATTTTTTCCGTAATTAGTAATTTTTTGTTACTTATAACGACCTGCCGTTTTAAAAATAATTGAACGCGGACTAATTCGCTGGGCTAGGGGTTCGATTGGAAGGTCCAGAGGCAGTAACCAGATTTTAATTCACACAAGCAAAGTTTATTAAGTAATCAAATTAATACAGCGGATGGTTTAATAATGCAGATTTAATTCAGCGGTCAGGCGCCGTGGCGCTCGCTATGACGTATGATGGTGGCGCGGATTTATACAAATTTACGTGGGCGCGGTCGCTGGAATTACATATGTGAGTTACGCGGCTTTCTTACGACCAGGGTTTAACGCTGGAATTACATGAACGGAACGCGATATTTACAAGCGATTTATACGGATGCATACGGAGAAACGGAACGCGAGATTTACAAGCAATCTAGGCGGTACGCAGGAAATTAGAGACGCGGACTATGTACAACGATACGCAGATCTTCCGAACGAAAACGCGAGTCACGGGCGGGAAAATCCGGTGGAATGGAACAGCCGGTCAGGTTGAGGCTGGGCGGCCAGTTGGTTCTAAGAATTCTTGGTACTTCGGCGACAAGACTGCTTGTCCGAGACCAAGTTGCCTTGACCCCGCTGTTTCGCCGTTGCAACCGAGAATTGGTAGTGTGACGGAGTTCGAGCAGCGCCCAAGACCTCTTGGAACGAGGTCTAGATCACTGGACCTCGCTTTCTTTGCCGCTCTGGGAGTCGGAAGGTTGCTTCTTTCGGGATCAGCGGATCGGAGAGCTGTCTCGAGAAGAAGTATTTTTCGTCGCAGCACTGATCTTTTATACACCCCCGGAGTGATAGATTCGGTGTGGGTAGCCAATCTTTGTGCGAGCCGCGCGCCGGGCGGAGCGGTGCGGAATCGCGTTCTTGCACTCGGCGAAGATCGGCTCCCGTCGGCGCTTGTCGGGGTTCCGAGGGGATATCGGTGCCGCGAGCCGCTAATTGCTCGCGCACACGATCTTATGCAAACGATTAAAAATGTGGGCGCACCGAGTCCTGTCTTCGCCCGACGGATGGTCGATCGGGCGGCATTCGGCTGGTGGTGGCCGGGAGTTCGATGCATTTGCGAAGTGCATCGTTACACCACCTCCTCTCTAAAAGTGCCTGAATTTAGAGGCACATCATGACCGGTCGGTGGAGCCCGGTCGGTCCCGGTTGTTTAAGCTGGCCTTCCTTGGGACTTCTCTTTGATTTATCTTATGGAGCCGTCGCCGTTAAATCGTACATGCCACCGGCGCGGCCCGAGCCGGCCCAGTCAGAAACGTTTGATTAATACGTCGAATTAACGTCGAAAACCAAATGTCGAAATTCTGGTCGATTCGACGTAGAAAGCGTAAAATATCAATGACTATTCAACTATCGTTTTGACGTCGTTTCAACGTTGAAGTAAGGTCGGACCTCGCACTAATTATATAGGAAATTGAATCTCGGTGAAATCGGGTAATTTTTTAATGTTGTAGCTTATGACCTACTAAACAAAAAATGTAATGGGCACAAAGCTAAATAGTGGACAGTTTTTGAGTTACAATTGACGATTATCTTATTATTGATGTGATTATTTATTACATTGATTTTATAAAAAAAGTCCCTTAAAATCCAGTTGCCCGAATCTCGCGATCAGTGTACAAGAAATTCTTTTTTCCCGCGTGCGCTTAGCTACGCGCGACTCGAGCCGAAGTGGAGGTAGCAAACAAGTGCCATTTGTAAGTCTTGCAACACTCGCTTCTCGCGACGTCGCCGCGTCGCAACTCGTGACAGTGCTACTCGCGACTAGTGCAATACTCCATTCTGTAGATGTTTATAGTTCTCCGAATTAGCTTGGCTTTATTTCTGTTTCTGGATCTTAGCAGTCATTTAGCTAAACCGAAAAGTGTTCCAAATCCATCATAATCTATAAATAGTATGTTGTATTATTATAGTGTTTGTAAAAGTAAAATAGAGAAGAAATGTCAAACATTTTACACTTAGAAATCAAAGAGCGCAATAATTAAGTTACACTTTTTTTAACAAAAGACGATTTTGATTGTCAGCTGTAAGTTGCCGATGTTTGTAGGTTATGAAAGGTTCAGAACAGTTCTCGGTTTAGTTAAATCGCTACCAACATCTACAAATACAAACAGAAACAAGCCGAGCTTGGTTCGGAATACACTCTGTACACGCGTATCAATAGTGGTTGGTTTGGTAAACGTCGTTGCTACTCGTTGCACAAGTATATCCATATCATAAAAACTGCGCACATTTACTAATAAATCGACAATTGTCGATACGTATGTACAGAATAGCCCTTGAGAAAAAAGATGTGAAATATTTAAATTGCGCCAATTGCAAAGAGAATATATATATTGCTTTGAAAAATAATATAATTGTTGTGCAACTACTTTTAAAAAATAAAACTCAAGTGGTACGTATTTTTGTATTCCCATTCAAGGGTCTTCCCATTCCAATCTAAGCTTTAATTCTTTTTGACAAAATTATAATATTACAAAGAGTTATTTTAATCACAAAGAATTAAAGAGATTGTTGACGCAATCATAGTTGACGCTCACATAGCTTGCGAAAACGCTCTCTTGTTAGAGCCTTTGTGAGAATATTAGCACGCTGATTCTCTGACGGAACATACTCTACTACTATGTCTCGACTTGCACATTTTTTTCGAATGTAATGAAACCTTACATCTATATGCTTCGTTAACTTGTGATACACCGGATTTTTGACTAGCTTTATAGTGCTTTGATTGTCGATGTACAAGGTAGTTTCACTTGCACATGGACATTCGATGTCATACAACAGTTTTCGCAACCAAACAGCTTCTCGCGTTGCAGTCGATGCCGCTGCATATTCTGACTCAGTAGTGCTTAATGTTACCATCTTTTATCTTTGCGCAGACCAGGTGACTGCACCATTTGCCAAACAAAAAACATATCCCGTAGTAGACCTTCTCGTACCGATATCTCCCGCATAGTCTGAATCTAAGAATACGACTAGGTCAAACTTGCTACCGCCGCTTTCATACTCTATACCATAATTGACAGTACCACTCAGATATGCAAAAATGCGTTTTACTGCATTCCAATGCTCGAGATTGTGATTATTCAGATCTACTTACTGAATTAACGGACTTGGTTAGTGGATGCGTGTGTGAGTGGGTGCGGAGAGCGAGCGTTACGTAAGATATTGCCAACGACTGCGTTCACAGATAGATTCGGAGTGTAGGATAAAGGGAAAGGGGAGGCAAACGGCGGAGGAGGCGATAGAAGTGGAGGGAAGTAGGGAGACGCGAAGGGTGAGAATTAATTAAAAGGGTAAAGAGACGACTAGGTGAGAGGTAGGATAGAGACGACTAGGATAGAGAGACGAGAAGAAAGGCTAGGGATAAATAGGGGATTTTGTGCGTTTTACATACGGCACGGGGTACAGAGTATAGATGACATACGGCATACAGTAGAGTAGGGTGACAAGTGAGCGGCTGTGAGTAAGGCCGAGTCCGCATGCGGCGGGCCCGTGCGTATTGTCAGGCGACGAGATAGGAAAGCGCGGGAAACGCAAGGCAGTACACCTGAAAAAACACCACCTGGAGAGAAGGGAATGAAAGAGAAGGGGAGAGATACGGAAGAGGATGAAAAAAGGAAGAGTGAAGAGGGAGCTATGATAGCATTACTGAGAAAATTAAAAGAAGAGATAGCAGGGACAAGGAATGGGAT